ATATAAACAGATTATACTATAGTACTACTATATATAGACAGATTTGCAATAGACAGATTTAGATATAATATATAGACCACACTTTCAAGATTTATATTATATAATATAGATTTACATACTTGCATATATTATTAAATTAGACAGATTTTCAGACATTTCATCTCTATCTAGTATGATAGACAGATTTATATATATATACAGAGACGAAAGAGAATGAGAGACAGAGAGGAGAGAGAAGAGAGTATGATAGGCATACGCAGAGGGAGAGAGAGTCGTCGCCGGAACACCACTCTTGTTCGCCGGAGCCGTCGCCGCCGCACCAGCTCTTCCTCGTTAGCCCGTTTGGGAAATTGGGGGTGGAAGTTAGGGAATTTGGGGCAGAAGGAGTCGAGCAGAGCAACAAGGAAATAGAAGGGGGCTTTTTTTTTTGACTTTTTGCGACGGTATATGAATGAAGACCGTCGCAAAATATAGGAAAAACAACGGCCCGTATTGAATTAATCCTTTTTGCGACGGACAATTTCCAGTCGCAAATGATAATATTGCCGTAACTCAAAAAAAAGGTATTTTTTTGCGACGGTTTTATTTTTACCGTCGTAATACCTTCCGCATTTTCCGACCCTGTGCTTAGTTTTGCATTACCGGGTAAGTGCCGTCACTAAAGGCATATATTTTGCGACAGGTGAAACGTTTAACCGTCGCAAAAAACCTGTTTTTTTGCGACGGGAGGGCGCGGCGTCCGCTAAAAACTCCGTCTTTTTTGCTATGTTTTCCTGTAAGTGCAGTCAAATATTCATTCTCCTCCTATAGCTCACATCCATAAATCTATCTCTTCTTCCAGTTTCTGTCTCTTCCGATTTTGTCTCTTTGTCCTCTTCTTTTCAGCTAGGGGCCTCGAAAAGGGAATTTTCCACATATAATCTTGAACTCTCCTCTCAACCCTTGACAATCCCAATGTGTTAGTCAATGAGTAGGTGTAACTAAACTTTCCTCGTACACACACTCAAGGTGGTGTGTAAGTTTCGTGCAGTTGGAATGACCTAATATCCCTTTGTGAGTTGTCGTTAGGATGTAATTCCAAGGGCGGACCCAAGATTCATCGAATGGGGTGGGCTCTATTAAGATAATTAATTAACACATAATATTTAAGATATAAAACAACATAAAAAAAAGAGGAATTTTAATAATATAACCTAGATTAATATCTAAATTATTGATATAGAGAACAATCTAACTAAGTTAATGCTCGACGAGTCTTTAAATATTCAATTCATCGATTACAGAATCTAGAGATCAATTTTCCAAGTAAGGTCTCGTTCAAGGGTAGAGAGACAAGCAATCGGCAAGAAAACTCATCCCCATGTTCGAATTGTGAATGGCAGCTTTACACTGCTTATACCGAAAATGCTCTTTCCGTAGTCGCCATAGAAACAAGAAGGGTTGACACAAGACGAATCAATTTGTAGATCATGGTGTAATTGCTCGAACTTTCTTGTCACAAATAGTTCTCGGCATAAATCGGAAGGTAGATATCTTATGAAACTCGGGATCCACAAACAACATCAAGCTTATAAAGCATTAATTGACAATCTCAAAACATGGATGTCTATAAATGAAATCTTAGGATAAAATTTCTCGGTAAGATTGCAAATATTTTCCACATTAAAAGACCTAAAAATTGCCACTAAGATCCAAAGCCAGAGCTAAGAGAAAGAAGTTCCACTATCCCATCATTAATCCATGTTCTAACTCATTAATTGAAATCAAATTGTAGAGTTGAATATTGCTCAAAGTGATAATGATGCTCAATTGTAATTATGATTTATGTTGACGACAACGACTTGTACCCTCTTCATAAGGAGAACTCATATCATGCACCGCAACGTTATGTCGATTGCAAAATGACACCACATTTGCAAGAAAATATCCCAATATCTGTCTAGTTTTTGAAGGAGAGTTTTTGTTGTGGAGACTAATTTCATCCATTTAAGATATCTTGAGTTTTCTGTTGCAAGGCTTGACAAAGTATATTTATGATTCCGAAAATGTTGTTTATCAAGTGCAAGACGAATATTAATTCAAAGTCTTCATTACTTGTGAAACACACATTAGCTTGCCTCAAAATTTGTTGATTTGTAATTTACTTAGACTTTCAACAACTCACAAGATTGCCTCATACATATCAATCAAGTTTGTTAACAGAGTCATAATGCGAGCTCCAACGATAGCTCCAGCTCGATGCAAGGTACCAATTTGATTGGCCCCTTTAGAAGATTGACGCTCACCACCAGCCAACATATTTTCAACTACTCTTATGAAAGATTTTTAACTCACCAAGGCACTTTGAGAAGAAACAACAAAATTGACAATACAACTCTACTGAGAAAAAAAATTGCCAAACATTAGGAATCATTTTTGCTTCTGCAATTTAAGGCCAATTGCAAATGATGATGCAAAAGCAATGTACATAATATGTATACGGGCAATCTCTCAAGAAATAATTTGAAATACCAATTTGATTGGCCCCTTTTACCAGATTGATGCTCACCACTAGCCAACCATATTTCAACCTCACCTTATGAAAAGATTTTAACTCACCAAGGCACTTTGGAGAAGAAGCAAAAAATGACAATACAACTCTAGAGAAAAAAATTGCTAAACATTAGGCTCATCTTTTTGCTTCTCAATTAAGGCCAATGCAACGATGTACAAAGCAATGTACATAACTATGTATACGGGCAATCTTTAAGAATAAAGCTTGAAAATCCATTCCATTCGCCATGCATTTGCTAGCACGATCATACCCTTGACCACACATGTTTTGAATAGGAGATTAAATCGAGAAAATATATTCGATACTCTTTCTTTTAAAAGTCATGCAGATGTATTATCGACACCCACGATATCAAAGAACCGTTCCACTAGACCAGACATCTCTTGACGTATCTCAAAATAAGGGCCATTTGTTCTTTTTTTAGACTCGTCTTGGGATTCATCAACAAGAATACAAAAATAACCTCCGTGAACTTCATCAATCACATTTTGACGTCTGTTAGCAAGTATATGCAAAATCTCCTTTTGGATCTTCAGAGAAGTGTTTTTGCATTTTGTGGAGCATTCTATTATATAATGCTCTCAAATGCATCATTTTCCTCTCGCCTGAACTTTTAATTATTCAATTAGATTACCTTGGATGAATCGAGCTTTCGTCATGACCTCTAAAACAGTCCTTGAAGAGCAAGTATTGAATGGTTTCAGTTGTTGCCTTTACCGTATCGATTCTTCAAAATCCTCTTCTTTGTATTGCCATTCAACATTTTTCAATTGTTAGGAATATTCTTTAAATTTCAGACTAATGACACAATGACTATATGATGAAAGATGCAAGTCTGACATGAAGCAAAAAAACATATTTGTATCTCATCATTTATCTCTTCCAATTGTTAAACCCCCTCATATACCAAGAATAGAATGCCCTGATCGACTTATTTGGTGATCAACAAAAAAGCATGAGAAAACAATATGCTTTATCTTTTGAAGAGAATACTCTAGCCAAGAAATATTTTAAACCAAAATATGTTGAAATCATGGCAATTCTGCTTTCCAAATGAGGACTAGGATACTCAGTTTAGGTTGATAAGGCCCTAAGCTCACATAAGCTCCTAACTCATCATATGATTAACTGGTGTAGACGCGCCCGCGGAGAGGGGCCTCATGCTACATACAGTTCGGATCGCGATTT